ATAGCACTTCCTGCTATCTATACAATGTCAGGCAAGATCTCAGTAGTCTAAGTTTCCTCTTTCATAAAACAAGAAGGGATAAACATGCAATCTGTCAGCCCCGCGGGATTTCTACAAGGACCTAATGCCAAAGAAAGTCCAGAATCAGGGCATGATTTTACAAGTCTACCATCCAAAGTGCCAGTCACAACTACTAAAGTGCAAAAGTCTGCTTCACTATCAAACAGATGGTTTCAGAAAAAAGGCAATTAAATTTTTTGGAGGGAGGAGTAGTAATTTCCCTCTCAGCTCTTCCTGAAACTGGTTGATAGCTGCAGACAAGCAGCGTAAAAAAATTAAAAGTAAAAAAATAAATGTTGAAGTTAAAAAAGAAAATGTCAAGGGAAATAGTTTAGAGTCACACAGATAAATGAACACAAACTGAAGCATAAAGCAATAAAATGTTATATTTGAGTTTTTTAATCAACAGCTATAAAAAAGAATTAAAATTTAAATTCACATACACAAAATTTGTGTGCATGTATGCAAAATAGAACTTATTACAGTATTCAAAAGCAATAATTCCACTAAAAAGCACAACAGTTTTCATTTACTTTTAAAAGAAACTATCAAACTTAATTTTGTTAGTAAACAGAAGGAAATAACCACTTCAAATTTCTTCACTTTTACAGACTTTAAATACTTATTTCCAAGGTTAACTTATGTTGATAACCTTGATGTTGAAGAATAATTACAAAAAGTTTTCAAACTCAAGCAAAAAGGAAAATTATTCCAGTACCACATATTTTATTTCCTTGACTCATTTTAAATGGTTCACTGGCATATGATTCTGTGAAAAACCCACAGTATTCCAGAATATACCACACAGCGTATTCGCTTCACAGGAACATCTGCTTCTCCGTGAGCAGGAGGGACAGTGGTTTGTGGAGAAGGTGGTAACGTCCCCTCCTTATTGCAGCCCAGAGGAAAATGTGCACGTACGAACACACAGATCACAGACACAGAAACTCCTGTCCCAACACCCTGCCACACTCCTGCTGCTCACAATTCGGTTTTTCCCCAGGTGCGTGGGCACACCTGTATGTCTACTGGAAAACAGCACCCTGCACCTGTGTTGTCAGGAGAGCCCGGGGCCCTGGAGACACATTCAAGTCTGGGAAGCCCTGTGACACACATGCTTCCTTGAGCAATTTCATAAACTCCAAGATCCAGACATTCAGTGAAAAACGAGACCAATGATGGTATCTACAGCCTGGCATCACCGCAGGCAGAGTCAGCTAATGTACTGAGTAACAAACACACAGTAAGTCTAACTGGTACTCAACTCAGGTCTATCACTGACCTCAGATTTGTACACTCATGATTTTTCCATGGTATTTCCTACAAGACTGTACTGATACAACACCCAGATACACTAAAGCTCCATTAACCCAGGTGTCTCCTTAGGTAGCAAAAAATAAAAGTAAATTGATAATGCCATCTTGCATTCATTTACAATGTAATGTGGCACCTGTTTTATAATTAACCTCAAAATATTTCCCTAATAATGTGTTTCCTACTTTTGTGGAATCAAAGAAGTTAAACAAAGAACAAGTTTAAAAACAAACACAAATCTTCTCCCAGACATAAAATGTGACTAATTCTACTCAGTAACCCTCCTGCCCTCTGATTTCTGCCCTCATGCACTTTAGAGAGTCACTGATCCCCACCTCGCCCAAATAATATACCAGGTGTCCACATCAGAGACAAAGGACCAATTAGAAACCGTCCCACACTCTCCCATCCCACAGCCTTTTCTAGGGACGCTCACATCCACAGTACTTGCTTCCTACATCCAGAGTAAAATGTGAGTAGAAAACTCAGTACAAACAAAACCATGGTCAGCCATCACCAGAAAATCAGTCACTGAAACAGAAAGCACACTTTACTTTCATTGGTTGCATGGCAAAAGTTTACATGCCTAAAAGTTGTGTTCATAGCCCTAAAATCGAAGGTAGAATTGCTTTGGATTTTCCTGTCATGAAATTTTGCCCTACCATGGATTACTCAGTGACAGATACTTTTAAATTCAATCTTTCAATGTATAGCAATATCCAACAGATAATTCTACCGTGTTTCATTAAGACCCTGGGGACTTTAAGAATAATAATAAAACTCTTTGGAAGTGCCTGAAAACATCATGGAGATTTTTTGAGAGTCGAGACTCTGGTACTTACATCAGACCAAGCATCTGAAGGGTGAGTGATCAGGAGACGGAGGCACAGGATGGAGTGTCAGAGCTCCCACTACAGGACGCCGTGGCGTGACGGCTAATAAAACATGTGAAACTCAGCACGGAAAGCTTAAATCTCTACCAAATGAGTGAAAAAAACACAGTGGAAAGACTATCCACTTATAGATAAAAAGGTAATATAGAAAATAAATCAATTCTTCCCAATTTGATCTGACTCAATACACCAATCAAAATCCCCGAAGCTACCTTTCTGGATAATGGAATGCTGAATCTATAATTCAGATTAAAAGTAAAGGCTCAAGAATGTTCAAGATCCTTCCCGACATGAACACAGTGCGGACTTGGCCTATCAGAGACACAGCTTGAATGTCAGACCCCAAGGAAAGAGGGCGAACTACTTCACCATTGGTCTTGGGAAAATTAATCAGGAGAAAACAGTTCCAGTTGAAGCTTAAAAATTACATGTTAGTATCAGATGCAGGTGATTAAATACTTAAACATGACAGACAAAATAGAACCCTTTAGAGTAAAATATATTTAAAGTTTGTGTATAATCACAGGGTTGACAACGATTTCTTAAATCTAACACGGCAACATACTAGAAGCAATTCAAAGGACAGCTGGCCTTTGTTGACCTCAGAATAAGGAATTTATCAAAGTACAATTAAGGCCCGAGCTGGGAACCAGCTCTTCCATTATATAGGATCGAAATAAAGTAACCCCAAGTATGCATAGCCTAGAAACCAGCCGGCAGAATAAGAGGATGCTAGAGGTAAGAAGGGATTCTCAGGGAGCGGGAAGGGTGGCCTGGGGACACACAGTCAGGGTATCCCTCTGAGAATGAGCACAGGATCCCTCTACATCTAACCAAGACGTCTTCACTTTCACATTTATCCAGAAACTGGATTCACAGGGCCCAGACTGACAGCCAAGGTCTACATGGAGACAACTACTTCAGAATCCAACTGTCAAACCTGTGTAAAACTGGCACCGTGGCTTCTCTACATGCAGTGATTTTACCACCCAGTATTAACGCTGTGGATGGGGCACCGCGGACCGCATAGAGAGCCTCTCCTTTGAGCCACACCCCCGACCCTTTTTAATATCTTGGGACAGGATCTCACTGATAGCTAGACTTGAATCTGAGACTGTCCTGCCCCACCCCTCAGTGCTGGGATCACAGGTGTGTGTCACCACACTCAACTTACTGCTACACTCCTGCACATGCGTGCCAGAACCTTTGTTCAAGAAAATGTAGCAGCATTACTCCTGGTAGTAATCATCTCGGAGCAATCCAAATACGAATTTGCCAACAGAGGATCAGTGAGTTTAGAGATATCCCCATAAAATAATATTTAATTCTGCAGAGAGTGTTTCCCTCTCATGCAGCTGTTATTGTGTCTGGGTTCTTAGTTATATATGATCGCCCACAGTCTGAAAATATTACAGGCAACATTCCAGAAATAATAACTGATAAAATCTAACCCGTGCACTCTTCTACACAGTGTGACAGAAACCTCACTTGTGTTGCCCAGTACACATCGATCCAAGGCCCGCACTGCCCAGGGCGGCTTCATGCGCCCTTTACCACGCAGCCCAACAGGGCCTCATGGGGCATCTGCGGCACTCAAAACAGCCACTGTCTCCTTAGCACGAGAGGTGAGCGGGTCCAGAGCGACACTTGGAGACAGAGCCAAGTGTGTGGGTCTTGCCCTATTCTGTTACTGGTTTCTGTGATTCACCTCTTCCTGTGCTGACTCTATACATTAAACTCCCCCATCCTGAATGTACACAGTAGGAACAAACACAGTAGCTGGAATTCCACGTGCATGGTCCTGCACTGGCCTCGCAAGTAGTCCCACAGGAGAATGCTGAGGAAAAGGCAGGGTTTGTCCTGAGCATTACAGGTGTGTTTTCCTTGTTGGTGGAGCCCAAGAGGCGTGGTATAACCACCAACGACCTAGCAGCAATGGTGCACCAGGCATTAAAGCGCACGGGAGAGCGTGTTACCCAGAGATACACTTCACTGCATGTAAGGGACTTGAATGTCCACGGGCTTGGGGAGCTTGGAACCAGTAGCCCGGGCCACAGTGAGAGGACCGCACGGGGCAGTGCTGCCTGTGCCTACCAGCAGCCACTGGAGTGAGGAGGACACAGGCCACGTGGGCAAACTGGACTCCTGCACCACGAACTGGAGCTCAAGGCATCAGATAAGCCAGGCCGACAGGATGAGAGGAAGAGCAAGGCGCCTGCACGCAGGATGCTAAGACGTGGAGAAAGCACAGAGGTACACAGAGGTACCTTGCTTGGCAAGGCAGTTATGTGTGCTTCAGCTATTTCCATACAGCAAAGAAGCTATTAATTAGGATTCAGCACACTGGGCTCCTCTGCAGGGACGCAGAAGGGCGAGGTGGGAGAGTACTGTGCCTAAGGGCATCAGTGATGCCTCACACTGCACAGCAGACTTAACCACACTCACGGTGGTCACCTACACAATGACCTACACGTGTGTACGCCTACATATACCTCAAACAGTATATGCATTATAAAGTATAGTATTATAAAAACAGACTAATACATAGAGAGAAGCTATCTGATTACTTCAGATTCCCACAAGGATATCTCATTGTTATGAACACGGTAGATAAACCCAGTTACCACGGTAAAGAAAGCACACCAAAGGAATCCCTCTCCAAAACACATGAGCAATAAATAACTAGGAAAGTAAGGACAAATGGCGAGAGGTAGAGATCCAATTTAAACTCACCTCCAGGGCTTTCGACCTGTTGCTTAGAAGTTTTTCAATATCCCTGGCTGCGATCTCCACCAGCTGCCGAGCATTATTGGGTTCCACAGTATACAAATCTTGGTATTTCTCATAAATCTGTGTGAAAAGAAAATCACATTAATAGAGCATTCATTCCTTCTTTGGTTCACGGACCCCCCACCCCCACCCCCATCGCAAAGTGTTCACAACAATGAGGAAGGACTGGAAAGGCCCGCCCTTTTTTATTTTTTCTTTGTTTTGATCTTTTTTTTTTTGAAGTGGAAGAGATCAGGAAAACATGTATAAATAAGTATCAGTTCCTTATGACTACCACCTTGCTAAATTCATTACGTGCTGTGAAACATCTTGCACCTAGCAGTTTATACTTGTGACTTGGAGATTTGAGGCTGTACTGCACCCCAACTTACAACTTGATTTTAATCATCATTTAACAAAACCAGAGGCCGTGGTAGACTAGAGGGCGCTGGGGGGAGGGACTTCCCCTGGAGGGGCGAGGGGCCCAGAGCCTGGAGGGGATCTGTGGCTGAGTCTGGCCTCAGAGAACTTCCTTAGCAGAGCGCTGGGAGTACTCATGTCCTCGGGGAAGTCTGGCACAGAACCATAAGGACACATTTATGTCTTATCAAATGGAATGTTGTCTTTGTTTAAATTCAGGAATCCAGCTCCAATAAATTTACCCAAGGTGGCAAAAGCAAAAACACACCTTGCTTCTGGCTCCATGGTGTGTGGGGGCTTCCCCAGAGCACGGGGGTAGTTGATCTTGGGGCTGCGCACTGCCAGCAGAAAGCAAGGCGAGGAACAGGGGGCAGGGGAGCAGGTGGAGCGGTGCTCACACTGCAGGGAGAGCGCGAAGGAAACCCCTTCCGCGCTGCACAGATGGGGTGCTCACGCATGACCAAGCCACCGCCAAGCAGGCCTGGCAGGTCCTCCGTCTTGGGGGAAGTGAGACCAGCACATACGGGGACTGGCTCAGCCCTGCTTCGCTCTGGCGCAGCTCCAGCCTCCCGCTTCCCTGCCAACAGGGCAGTGAGCGCTTTACAGCGGCTCCAAGCAGACACGGTGCTTCCGCTAACGTTCACCTAATGGAGGGCACTGACTCTGCGAGCCCAGGGCTTCTGAAGGGACTGACTGATAACTGGGAATTGAAAATATTTTAACTGTGTCATTTCTAAAACTCATTGATTGAAATGTTTATATTTGGCCATACTCATTAGCACACTGCATTTGCACATTTTTATTCTCATTATTTAAGACCCAAGAATTTAGTGATGTTAGTATTTGAGGGCTGGGTGTAGCTCAGTGGGTACAGCACTTGCCTACCGTGTGTCAGACCCTGGGTTTGATCCCCAGCACTGTAAAAATCCCAATCAAAACACAATCCCCTGTTTGGGGGCACCCTGAATTCCTCTGTCTCCTGGGTTTGCTGATGTCTTCAAGCAGACTCTGAGCTCCCTTCTGAAACACCAAAGCTCTGCATGGGAAGAACCCTATCCAGCACAAAGCCCTCTCCCTGCTGCCTGCTTAGGATGAGATTCATGAATTCCTTGATGGATGGGTTGATTTGGGTTACAAACATAAACCTCAACATCGCTTTAATGGATCCAGGATATTTAGTTCTCTGAAGGAAACCAACTGAGCTGATGGATGTGAAACACAGCTGTGCTTTGCACCATTACCGTCTTCAGCCGCCAGCGTCCTCTGCAGTCTAACCTCCTTCGGTCAGTGGAGGTGACTTCAGAGGTGAAGGTGCACTTCTCACTGCACTGCACAGGACCCCATTTAATAAGCTCGGTCCCCGGGGCGCAAGGCAGAGGCTGAGTTTTGGGCAGCAGGATCTAGTGTGCGTCCTCAGGTGACGAAGGCACCCGGGCCCTCCTCTTCCTCATTTCCCTCTGCCATAGGGTCACTGCCCTAAAAGCCCAAACATTCAGAGCTGCTGATCGTGGACTGGGCCCTCCAAATCCTCAGGCCAAATGCAGCTTTTCTCTTTATGGGCTAGCTACCTCTCTTTAAGGGCTGGCTATCTCGGGCGTTTCATTAGAGTCATGGTAGAGACACTAACACAAGAGATGAAAGCAAGATCCAACTCAGAAACACATTTTAAATGGATGGCATCAAGGGAACTTAAGCCTAGGGTCCCAGTGCCAACACCTAGTGACACTATTTCACACAAAACCACAACTGGAATTTGTTCCTGTAACAGAAATGAGTTAACATTCCATAGAAAAGCTTCCTGATGTAAGTCTAGCCAACCTCTGAAAGGAGGTTTCATTTATATTTTGAAGATTACATGATACACTGTAATCATAAATATATTTCTCTTTTCGTTGTAAAATAACCCTTACTTCTATACTATTTAGCATGTTAATAGTTTAAGATGCTGTCTAAAGCATCTTTCCCCTTCCTCATTTTATTCCTTTGTTCTAAATGATTATCTGCTTTGTCATTGGATCCAATTTCTTTCTTGACGAAAACAACGTATTGGAAATAATATGAGTTTCTGGCTCCGGACAGGACTGCGTTAAAATCACGTCAAGCTTCACACACTGTGAAACTGGCCTGTATGAAGTGAGTCCAGAGAATCCACCACAATAAGACGCCTTTCTTCTCAGTGGCACACTAAACAGCGTGCTTTGGCTTTCCTGCATCTCAGGTGCTCCTCCTGCCCTGAGATACGCAGTCTTGAGAGGAAGACTGCCTGTCACCAAACTCTTTCTTTCTTAGAATCACAACTGCCTTTAATGTTCCCTGACTGTTACACTCAAAGACAAGCTTCACTGCCATCACCACACAGAGGACACCGTCTTATCTTCCTCACTGGAAATGGCTTTCAAATCGCTAAACTAAATTAAGACCACGGTTCCAGACAACTTTCAAAATACATTAAAAAAAAAAAAATAGACTCGAATGTGCTCCATGGAAAGGAAACCATTCACTGGTACAAACGCTGGACAAGATTCCTAAAGGAGTATTGAGAAACCATAGACTATGTACCACCATGCCACGAAATCACTTCATGAGGTAATACAGATACCCAAGCACGCTGAGCAGGAAGTAAATATGTCTCCAACTTTTGGACGCCTACAAGACTAATACCAGCATCCAGCTTAGGCAGCTAAGGCTACCACTTTTGGGACTTCACATCTATTACACGACTTATTCTGCTGGAGAGAAGTCAATGCGCTTTGACAGCTCTATCATAAGATTAAGTCCCACCTCACTGTAAAAGAGCCAAGGACCGCTCTGAGCAGCAGGAAATGAGAGGTAAGCTGGCTGGATCAGAGAAAGTGTGCCCAGCACAGTATAGCCCGGCTCTGCCCAGGGTTCAGTGGGATGCAGGGATACAGAGTAGCCCCTAAACAAAGTGAGCGGGTACTGCAAGACCAGCATGTCTGCTGGGAGTCTGCCCCAGGGCAGGGTGAGGGGGCTCCAATGCGGAGGCGGAGGGGTGGACAGAGCAGGGGAGGTGTGGCTGTGGGTGATGTGTGGTACCGGGCTGAGGGCCCCACAGCTGCCGAGGACTTAAGAGAATACTGAAGGACAGCTGGTCTTGGAATTTACTAAATTCATCCTTCACTGTAAAGAGGACTAACCTTCCAGTTGTAAGATTAATCTCCCCACTGGTGGGAAAGAAAAAGGCAGCAGCTAAGAAAGTTAGGTCCCCTAAAAGAGAATCACAGTCAAATTTCTGCATATTAGATCATAACCACATAGATTTGGACAGTCCCTCTCCCATACTGGTATGGTGGCTTCCTTCACGAGGAGCTTGTCGTGGTCAAGATTTCTGCACCGCCCACAGCCGTCTTTCTGCAGGAAGTTTGCCCGCTGACACTCCCGATGGAACAGGAGCCCTGGGAGCGCTGCCCCTCCTGCCTGGCAATGCTCTACCAGGCGGCCTTGCCCTGGCCCTGAGGAATTCCACGAACTTGCATCAACCCCGCAAGCAGCCAACTGCTGAGTCAACAGCTGTGAGAAGCTGGGAAGACAAGCTCTGTATAAACAGTGACAGCAACTTGCAGGGACCAATCAGAGCTTCTTGGCATGGGACCACGGTGGCAGGGAACATCGGACCACGGCAGCACGGGTCAGGAGCTCAAGCAGCAATGAAGTGCATCTGAGGAAAACGGTATTCACATAGACTGAGCAAATGGAAGGGTCCCTGTGGTAGGCAGTTAACAGCCAGCATCCTCATTCCCTGAACCTGTGAGTGTGCTGCTGGCTGGCACACCAGAGCGCCTTCCATAGGGAACCCCTAAACCATGGTCCTTGATCATGGAAGAGGAAGTTGTGAGGAAGCCAGAGAAGAAAGCAGCCTGACATCACTGATTGGAAGATGACCCAGGGTGACCTGAGGAGGGAATCACAGCAGTGTGCAGAGCTGTGACAACGCATCTGCACTGTTCCAAGCCAATCAGCGCATGCTAATTTTCACACAATGACTCCGTCATCCTCAAGGACACCCTGATGAGCACACACCATAAAAACTGACCTGTGGAAACACTCTGGGCTATCATTCCACAGACCAAAATACCAGCTAAACGCCCCAAGTTCTGGCTGAAACACACCCTCCCACTGAGTTCCCTTAAATTTCCCCAGTTTTCCATAAGTAGTTCTGTAACAAACTCGCCAAGTGATTCACTGTTCCTAAAAAAACCCAGAACTCCAAACACAGCCTCCATGATTCAAAGTTGGGATTAACAGCAAGCCTGAACCATGACTTTGCACTTTCTCCCCTGGGTCACAGGATGCTTGGGGCCGAGAACAATGAGTCTCTTTGTGACCTGTGCTCCCCATCCATTCGGCTTCAGGGACAAATGAAAAGCAGCTCAGGGACTCCAGTGTTACCTTCACTCCTGTGCAGTGTTCCAAAAGAAAGTCAGACAGAAAAGCTAAAATTGCCCAAATGGACAAGTCTACACTGAACAGAGAATAAATGACCTGGAGGAGTAATTACAGTTCCCTGCATGTTAAGGGGGGGGGGGATTAAAGGAAAGTGCTACCTCCCCTCCCCCTCACTCCTATGTCTCAATCAGCTAACAGAAGTAAATCTGGAAATCTTCAGTAGGAACACAGGCAAATGAGGTTTACTGTCTCAC